TAAATAAATAAATAAAATATATTAGATGAACCAATTTAAAAGGTCATTAAAGTTTTCTATGAAACAGTATCAATCTTATGTTGGGGTATACACATTTTTTTTCGTGTGTGTGTGTGTGTGTGTGTGTGTGTGTGTGTGTGTGTAAAAGACAGGGAAGAAGTAATATAAAGTCAATAGAAAATGGAAATATACTTTTTAAAGTTTCTAATACTAGAAGAAAATATCATATCATGTCTTTTAAATAAAATGTAAGCCAAATATACGGCATAAATCTTAAAAATTAAGATTAAGCAATATTCAGAAAATTAAATACTAATTAATTAAAAATTAAATGTTTCAAAACAATTGAACTAAGAAAACGTTTTCATGATAGTAGAGAATTACTAAGAATAAAACATAAGATAAATACTGGAATGACAAATAACCAGCACTTCTAACAGTTTGGGAATAGGATATTGCACAAAGGTCTAGTGTGTCATGGACATGGATAATGTCCATAACACTTACTGGTGGCCATGTGTCACTTGTGGGACTGAGCTACTGCTGTTTCCTTGGTATCCATCCTGTAGACCTGGATAGAATCATGCCCCATAGGATGCAGAAGTCCATTTGTAGAGTGTGCTGATGGAAGTATCTTGCTGCTGTATACAAAAGAATAACTGAAAGACTGCTTTTGTATACCTCTTACCCTCCTATGTTTAATTGTTTGCCCTATTTAGTGGATTCTTTCCATTCTCATTCATGGGGCTGTGATCAATTTGCTCCCTCTCTAGAACATCATTCAGTAGTCTGTGCAGGCTTGGCTTTGTCATCATGAAATTCTTCAGTTGTTCTTTGTCATGGAAGTATTTCACTTCTCCATTATACTTGAAAGAGAGTTTTGCAGGGTATATCAGTCCGGGTTGGAATTTGTTTTCTTGCAAGACTTAAAGTACTTTGCTCCACACTCTTCTTGCCTTGATGGTTTGTGAAGAGAAATCTGCTGTTATCCTGATGGGTTTTCCTTTAAATGTGATCTGTTTCTTTTCTTTAGCAGCTCTTAGTATACTGTTCCTGTGCTGAATTTCTGGGATCTTGACAATTATATGTCTTGGTATGTTTTTAATTGGGTTTATGTTCTTTGGAGTTCTATATGCTTCAGTTCTCTGAATGTCAGATAGTTTCCCCATATTTGGGAAGTTCTCTGCTATTACTTCCATCCATATTCTTTTTATATCATTTGTATTCACTTCTTTCTTCTCATTGATGTCTATTAGTCTCACGTTGTTCATCTTTGCATCATCTTGTAGGTATTGAATTATTTTTTCCTGCATCCTAGTTGTTTTTAAGAGCTCTTTTCTTACTTTTTCACTAGCTACAATGGTGTCTTTAAGGTCTGAAAGTCTCTTTTCACTTTCATTCCAACAGTTTGCCAGCTTGTGATTGAGGTTTCAATTTCCTGTATATCACTTTGAATCTGCTTCTGCATTCCATTTCTTTCCTATATTGCTATTCAAGGATCCCATCATTTTTCTATTCTGCTCTATTTTTTTATCAGTGTCTTCTTTGGAAACACTTAGTACTTCTTTTATTATAGTTATCATTTCTTTTTTTACTTCAGAAATTATTTCTGATCTGATTTCCTCTATACCTTTCTTCAGTTGTTTCTTTACTTCAGATGCTATTATTTCAGAGATTTCAGGGGTGTGATTTCCAATTTCTTCTATGCTAATGTCTTCTGCACTTGTTCTGGATGGGCTCAGGGCCTGAGACTGCATTTTGTTCCTTCTCTTTGTCATTTTCTATAGCACTGTCTTCTGACCTTTCCTGTAGAGCTTGGATAGAGTTATTACCTTAGCACCAGGTCCTGATCTACCAAGTTCAAACTCGCCCTATTGGGTGTGGCTTAGATATGGTTGCTGTGCTCTATGTCTTCCTGCTGCAACCCTTGGAGTCAAACCCTCTGTGCCACTCTGGCAAGATGTTCAGCTTCTGAATCAGCTGGGTAGCCTTGCCTCTAGCCTCTTTGCAGGGAGTTTAGCTGTAGGTTCCACACTGGTCCTGGGCTGTGGGTCAAATGAAGATCTGGCGAGCGCCAGGTAGTCTCACTCACATGCCGGGCCTTGGCTCTGGGTCGAATGAGAATCTGGCAGGCCCTGAGTCATCTCACTCACACGCCAGGCCCAGGCTGTGGGTCAAATAAGGATCCGGTGGGCCCCAGGCGGTCTGTTCTTCAGACTTTATAATCTCCATTAATCTGTCTTCATATTCATCAACTCAAATCTCTTGGGCCCCTCTGATGTATTTCACCTTGGTTATTGTATTTTTCAACTCCAGAATTTCCATTTGATTATTAAATAATTTCTAGCTCCTATTGATACCCTTAATTTGATAAGACTCATCATTGTACCTTCCTTTGTTTAAGCATAGTTTCCTTTAGGATAATGAACATTTATATTAGCTGCTTTGACGTCTCTTCTTGGGGGCTGGAGAGAGAGCTCAGAGGCATAGGAGCCTGCCTGGCAAGCACAGACACCAGAGTTCGATGCCCAGCCCCACATGCTGTGCCAACCCTGAAGTCTTTCCTAACTCCACCATCTGAGCACCCCCAAAAGCAGTTTCTTTTGCCTCTCTGCTTTGTTTTCCTTTTTGGTCATGCTATCTATTGGGGTTGTTTGTTGGATATTTCCTAAGTCTTTAATTGATAAAATTTTTAGACAGTGTATTGTAGCAATATTAAGTATATTCTCGGGGAGTTGTTATTATTGGTGGTGGTATTTGATTGATTGGTTAGTTGGTTGCTTGATTCATTAGTTGGTTGATCACATTTAATAACTTAGCAGAGCCAATCCTGTGACACCTTTCCCCCTATTATATAGCAGTATGAATCTTCTAATATATAGGCCTATATTTTTTTCTTGGCTTCTAGCCCGGCTACCTAGAATTTGCCTCTGGGTGGCATAAACTGCCTGTAAATCACAGCTTGTGCATAACCCCCTTAGCCAATTAGAATTTTACCTTTTACTACTGGATTCCTGTGTGGTTTGGAAGCTGCTGTCACAGTTCAGTGAATTTATGGTTTCTACTGTTTTCAGCACAGATTGGTGGTTAGATGTGCCCACTCGGTACTTGAAAAGGTATGGCCTTGGTCAGGTATACAGTCTTCCAGGCTGCCAAGGATAAGTGATTTTATTTCTAAGCCTGGCCTCCTAAGACGTGACCCTGAGCCAAATGAGCTGATTGTTCAGTACTACTTGGTCCTCAGTACTACTTGGTCCACCCTGTGCCAATGAGATTTCCATCTGAGTAAACTGGCCTTCAAGTGATTTTGGAGGTGCTTTCATGTTTTTCTATATCCTGCTCTGATTGTTCTGAGAGGAGAGTGCAGCCTAGCACGTACACACTTCTGGCCTCCAGGATTGCCTGTCATCCCCAAAAGAGCCTTTCTTGACCCTTTCCTTCTATTAAAATTCTGTTGCTCTGGCATTTCACTTATATCATGATTACCAACCCCTTCTCAGTCACTAAGATTTTACACATGCCCATAAGCACAAACTTTTCCATGTCCTGTTCTAAATGCAGTCATCACAGGCAGAGCTGTAGATCTCTTTGTCTCAGGGCCTGAATTCCCCTGGGCAGAACTCTTGCTCTACTGTACCACAGCTGAGGAAAGAGACCTGTCTTCCAGGAGTGACTCCCCACCACCCTCCCCTGACTAGAAATTGTGGGGTGAGAGCAGGATAAATGGAAGTCGTTGGCCATTTCAGCTCATTTCTCATGGTTAGAAACTTCCACCCTCCAGCAAACTGGGCAGGAGTAATCAGGCACCATTTCTCTTCACCTGTTGCACATGCAGAACTTCTGCTCACATGAGGGCTGGTGGGTGGAAGGGAGCCCAGCTCTTCTTGGCCATGCCTGCCTGGACTACAGCTCCTGTGGCGTGGAGGTAGGGATAAGAAACATGAGTGGTCAGCGTGAGAAACCGTAGCCCAAGACCAGAGTGCACAGTGGTGCCATTTCTGGAGCTGGAGTGAGTAATGGAGCAAGCCTGGCCCAAGCGCCGCAGACTGTCCTTACAAAACAGGTAGTTTTGCTTGACTGAATGTTTTTTCATTGCCAGGTATCCTGAGACAACTTCCAGAGACTTTAAATAGTTGTTTTGCTCATTTTCACCAGTTATTTTATTTCACTGGGGAGATCAGCTGATACCCTTACTCCAGCACTCTGGAAGTCCACTCAGTGCTATCTTTGCAACTGCCTGTGAATAATTATATAATTATTTTAAAATTAAAGTTTTTAAGACATTGCAATATTTGGTAGTAACATTAAGAAGACATTATGATTCCGTCTCTAGATTTGTAAAGTGCAAAAGAAATAGGAATGTTTGTCCTCAGTATTTTTCAAGCTTCTTAAAAAATAAAATTTTAGGGGTCAGGGAGATGGCTCAGTAGAATAAGCCCTTGCCTGGCAAGCTCAAGGGCCTGAGTTCAATCCCAAGTTTCGCCAAAAAAATAAAATAAAATTTTAACATTTCTAAGAATTGTATTTTGTAATTATAGAAAAGAAGCCCTCTAGCAGGACAAAACATTCTGACTTCACCTAGTAGAGCACCTGAGAAGCCCATCCCCTTCCCACATTGGGGTGTGTATATGAGTGTGCATGCGCATGCACACACACACACACACACACACACACACACACACACACACACCACTCTTACCTGGCTGACTTTATCCTCTGCAGATCCGTTCAATTGTGTGGAGTGTAGATGACAGCAAACTGATTTCTTGTGGCACGGATGGTGCTGTGTATGAGTGGAATCTGTCCTCAGGAAAGAGAGAGACAGAGTGTGTGCTCAAGTCCTGCAGCTACAACTGTGTTACCATCTCCCCTGATGCCAAAATTATCTTCGCTGTTGGATCAGACCAGACCCTCAAGGAGATTGCAGATTCCTCGGTGAGTCGGCCCCACCCCACCGCTTGGGCTGCTGCACAGATCTGCAGAAGCTTCCTGTGCCTACAGCAGACAGTGTATCCCACAGGAGGAACATGCATAGCACCCAGCTACTCTATCTGTTGGGTCAACTAAGTTATTGTTACTGCCTGGGTTTTCTGCCTAGAGGCCTTCCAAGCTGAATTAAATTGTATAGCCTCTTTCCACTTCCGTTTTGCTTGCCATCCATAACGTCTCTTCTGCTCTCCTGGCATTGGAGTCAGCAGTGTCCCTCATACACTCATGTCTCTTATGTGCCCATGATCCACACTTGGGCGGGGGTGGGGGGGACACAGACTACCATGAGCTGCCATCCCAGGGCTTGCCAACTCTATTCTTTTGGCATGCCTACCCCTGAAATGTTAGATTATCCTATTTGGCTCCATATAGGTAAGAGCAGAGAGAAGGGCTCAACAATGACACTTCATACAGATAAGGCTTGTGTCCTCCAGAAGCCTGGTGACAGCTGATTTGGGTTTTTCTCAGCCCCTCCTGGGACTGATGCCTGGAGAAATGTTTGGCTGCCACAGCAGCAAACTGGCTAAAGCCGATTTCCCCGTAGTGCATCATGACTCTCCTCCAGACTCCCAGGTCACCTGGTACCAATGCTGTGGCAGCTTTTATGGCACCAGAATAAATTTCCTCTAGGGCAAGAATTTCACTCCTCTTGATATCCCCAGTTGTCTCTTATGTGCTAGGCAGTATGTCAAATGCCATAAGGAAAAGAAAAACAAATGATGAAAACCTCTAAAGGTGCTATTCAAGCAGAGGGAGAGAATGACCTCAGGACAGTGCAGACATAGCTCACCCTACTAACTGAACAGAGATGTCTGTGTTCCAGATCCTGCGAGAGATGCCAGCCTTTGATGTCATCTACACCGCTATTGCCATCTCACATTCTGGGCGTATGATGTTTGTGGGCACCTCGGTGGGAACCATTCGTGCCATGAAGTACCCTCTGCCCTTGCAGAAAGAATTCAATGAGTACCAGGCTCATGCTGGTCCTGTCACCAAGGTGAGATGGACCTCCCCTCCACCAGGGGCCCTGTCCCATTCTTCATGGTCCTTCATCCCTCAACCTCCTAGTGTCATTCTTATTCTTTATTTATCTGTCTGTCAGCCACCCAATTAGTTTTCATTGACTACTTGTTTAAATTACTCTGGGAACTTATCCTAGGAAATAATAGGAAACACATCTAAAGATTAATACAAGGTTGTTCACCATAATATACACAATGGTGGGGCACTTGATAGACAGTGCAGTGCCTCGCTGAGGCCAGCACATCTCCCAGCGCAGGGAGGATCGACTGCTAATAACCCTCTGCTGCTCCCTTCTCCAGAGAATTGCCCTAGACTAAAAGGAGTCACAGCCCAGGAGATTAGAAGTAAAACTCCCTGAAGATACAGAAGATTGCCTCCAGAGCCAGTAATACAAGCATGCATTTGTAAACTGTCCTTCCTGACCTGCTTCTCATGAAGTAGCAGCTATAGTCAGATAAATGTGAAGACAACCAAGTGTCCGTCTACAGATGAATGAATCGGCAAAATTGTGGTGTGTCTGTGCAGTTGAATAGTGTTTAGCCTTGAAATGACTTTTAAGTTTTGAGAAAAAAATTTTTTGCAATATGAGATACAGTGGACCTTAAAGACGTTGTAGCTAACTGAAATAAGCCACTCACAAAATGACAAACACAGCATGATTCCACTTTTATAATTTACTTAGTCAAAATCACATAAAGTAGAAAATGGGTAATTATTATTTAATGGCCATAGAGTTCTGATTTTACAGGAGTTACTGAGTAATGTGGTGGTGGTGGATACAAAACATTAATGTGTTGAATAACACTGAACTGTAGAACCGGTGAGATAGCTCAGCAGACTAAGCACCTGCGTAGGCAAGTGTAGGGACTGGAATTCCATCCCCGGCACCACATGCCACAGTGGTCCCAACCCCAGGAGTGCTGAGCCAGCCACCGAGTCTAGCTAGGGTGGCACATACCTATAATCCCAGTACTGGGGAGGCTGAAAGCAGGAGGATCACTACAAGTCCAAGCTGTGTGGTGAGACCCTATACCAAATACATAATTGTTTTAAAAAAAATGAACTATATACATGCAAAAAGTTAAGATGATAAGTATTATGTTTTGGATATCTTGCAATAATAAAAAAGAAATTCTGTAGAATGAAACACAGTTGCCAGAAGTCAGAGCCAATGGAAAATTAAAGGTCATTCATGGGCCAAAAAGAAACAGCGTCTGTGATTACGCAGAACCCATGTAAAGCAGACTCTGGGAAAACGTGTCTCCTCTCCCCTCTTGCTCCCTTATTGCAGATGAGTGGCAGGAAGACCTAGGGTTCTTTATGTCTCAGATTCTATACAAGCTTACCTTCAGGCACTATCTTTATTTTTAAAAAGGATTTTTATTATAAAATAAAGTATTTATGTGCTGTGTCTGGACCTTGCATTCACAGTAAATTGCTACAGTATTCAGTCTCCTTCCTTCAGATTTATTAAGTTGTGTGAATAAGATAATTATTATTATAGAAGAAATGTCTCCTTGAGGGGTAAGGGTCTTCAAAGTAGCAGCATCATAAATATTTAGATACATTTCTATCTTCCCTTATATATATATAGTGTATGTGTAATAAATAACATTAAATCACACCATAGGGCCACTCTTTTGTGGTCTGTTTTTTTGTTAAACTTAACACTATTATAAGTATTTTTCCATATAGCTAACTATTCCTCAAAAGCATACTCACGGCTCCATAAATATCCTATTATAACTTGTTCACTCTTCTCTTTCAAATGGTCATTTCAATTTTATAGACCATAATGCAATCCTCCTTGTACACGTATGTGTCCATCTCTGATGATTTCCTAAGGCTCACTGCTGAGGCAGAGGTGCTCTTACTAGATAGAGACTCCTAGAGATTTCTAGGCCTTTAAAAATAAAGTCCTTGACACGTATTGCTGATTGGGAAAAGATACTTTTCACAGTTAATTCTTTTGTCCTAACTTGTTGTTATGAAATAAGTATAGTCACAAGATATTTTAAAGATAGCACAGAGACCCTGTGTGTGCATCTCTCAGTTGCCCCAGTAATTCTATGTGACGTCATCCTAATACAACAGCAGACCAGAAAGCTGAGATCGGTGTGCAGCATGTGTGTAAACTTGAGTCGCTTCATCGCGTGAATGGATAATGGAGCTGCCACCTCCATCAAGACACGAAGGAGCTCCATCGCCTCCAAGACCTTCGTGCTGCCCTCTTGAATCACAGCCACCCTCCCCTAATCTGTGGAAACCATTCATTTGTCCTTGGTTTCTATAATTTTGTCACCTTGATAATTTTATATAAATATAACTATATAGTGGTTCATAAACCACCTGAGGAGGGGCTGGGGAGATGGCTCAGTAGAATAAATGCTTCCCTGGCAAGCACAAGGGCCTGAGTTCAATCCCTGGTTCCACCAAATAAATAAATAAGCCACCTGAGGGTAGCTTTTCTTATGTAGCATAATGCTGTTCAAACCTATCCAAGTTATTTTGTGTATAATAATAATTTATACCTTTTTATTGCCACATGATACTTCACTGTAAATAAACCACATTTTTTTTAACCTTCCACCCATTCTAGGATATTTTTTCCTAGACTTTTGGCTATTGCAAATAAAGCTACTATCATAACTAATAGTCATGTGCAGATTTTTGTATGGACTTAAATTTTCATTGCTTTGGGATAAATGTCCCAGGACTATGGTTACTGGGTCATATGGTAAGTGGATATTTAGTTTCTGAAGAAACTGCCAAGTTGTTATCCAGAGTGGCTATAACATTTACATTCCCACCAGCAGTGTTTCATTCTCTGCATCATTGCCAACACATAATATTGTCACTTTTTTTAATTTTAGCTATTCTAATAGGTGTGTAGTAATATCTCATCATGGTCTTAATTCACAATTGCCTAATGCTTAAGAAGTTGGTACTTATTATGTGCACAGTTTCGAGCTGGCGTATCCACTTCAGTGAAGCCTCTCAGACAGACTGCCCACTTCAGCATGTCAGGTTTTCCTGCTGAGTTTCGAGAGTTCTGTATACGCTGGATGATAGCTGAGTCTGAAGAGTCTAGCCCCAAAGGAAATATAGAAAAAAGTCTTGCTTCTTTGAGCCTTTCACAGCAAGCCCCGGTGGGGCACCTGTCTCATTCTTCCCAGGACCAAGTCTACCCTGCACCAGTGTCTTGTGGACTGAGGCCTTGCAGGGCAGCTGGCTCAGCGCCAGGCATGTCTGGCACCATAGAACTTTCCTCTCTGTGGTCTTTTCCTCTGTAGATGTTGCTCACCTTTGATGACCAGTACCTGCTGACCGCTGCTGAGGATGGCTGCCTGTTCACTTGGAAGGTCTTTGATAAGGATGGTCGAGGAATCAAGCGAGAGAGGGAAGTGGGCTTTGCTGAAGAAGTGCTTGTAACTAAAACAGACATGGAAGAGAAGGTAAGAGGGACAGGGCAGTTCCTTAGTAGGGTGACGTCAGACTCCTCAGACCAGCGTTCCAGGTCATCTGCAAACCTGGCTCACCCTCTGCCATGGACAGGCACCACAGCTCCCTGCTCACCTGCGTCCGTACTGCCAGGCTGTCCTTGTTGCTGCTTGACTGTTTCCACCCTCACAGTGCCTGTCTTTTTGCCACATGGGTCTCCTGGTGCACAGTGTGTTCTGCTTTGATCCTGTAATGGCGCTTTCCTCTGACAGCCTCTTGAGAGCAGGAACCTTGGCAATAGTGTTCCTTTGTTTGGCCAGTACTTTCTAGCACATCTAGGCACATGGGGAGCAATTGATAAATATTTATAAGATCTACTCAGAAACCATATTCTGCTTGTACCTATGAACTGTAGCAATTGCTAGTGCATGGAACCTTCTTTTAAAAAAACAGAAGCCAGGCATGCTGGGCTGTACCTGCACTCCCAACACTCTGGGAGGCTGTGGCTGGAGGACTGCAAGCTTCAGCCAAGCCTAGACAACTTAGTGTCTTAGCAAGACCTGGTCCCAAAACAGAAAACTTCAAGTGCTAAAGGTGTGCCTCAGCGCAGAGATTCTGGATGCAATCCTTATACCACTACCAAAGGAAAAGTAACGGAATACATTTATGTAAGCCCATACTGACACCTTTAAGGAATAAAATTCTAAGAGTAGTCATAACCATCATTTGCTATGAAGCCTGTAGGCATCATGCTAACTGCTCCATAATTATTTCTTACTGAAATCTCTCAATACGTTTAGGAAGACAGTACTGTTCTTTGTTCCATGTTTCAAAAAGCAGGTTTGAAGAGGTTGAGTGCTGTGTCTATAGTCACTGCTGGTAAGTAGTAGGACCAGTACTCTAATCCAGAGGCCCTCTCTTCTTTACTATACCAAAGGATTCCCTCCTGCTAAAACTATAAACATTCCCCAGGATGTGTTTAGTAGCCAGGTGTAGTAGCACATGCCTATAATCCCAGCTACTCGGGTGTCTAGGGCAAGAGGTTTGCAAATTCAAGGCCAGCCTAGGCAATTTTGAGACCTTGTCTCAAAATTGAAAAAGAGTTGGGGATTTAGCTCTGTGATACAATGCTTGTTTGCCTAGTACAAACAAAGCCTTGGGTTCAATCTTCAGTACTGCAAGGGGAATGAAAGTGTTTTTGTAGACACTTTGAGCCCATAGCTCTATGCTATGCTCTCTGTAAGAGAAGCTGAGTAGATAGTTCCCAGGATATCCCAGAGCTACTCATGCTGCTGCTCATCAAGAATCTTACTGGGGCTGGTGAGATGGCTCAGTGGTCTAAAGCACCTACTTAGAACAAGCTTAGCAAAGC